CATTCTTTGGTCTCCTATCCGACAGGGCGACAATAGGGCTTATTCACCCTCCGTTTATCTTTGAGCAAGCCCTCCATTGGAAGAGATTGTGGAGATACGCTTGTAAGTTGTAATAGGGACCAATAGTGGATTAGATTGGTGCATGTGAAATATGGTTACATGAGGGATTGGTCCTCGTTGGAGGTATTCATGTTGCATGTAGTCTTGTTGTAAGGTATACATGAGAGTTGGCATATTTCATGAACCATGCTCGTTTTGTGATTGGGAAAGGATACGTGGTGCGATTTTGGAGTCATCTTTGGTGTGGTGAGGAGAAGCTGGAGGTGGTGTTTTTGTCCCTCATATTGCAATCATTAAAAGATCAAGCAATGGCTGTGGACTGTGTGAAATTCGAGTGTCAACAAGTCTTTTAGGACATTTCATCTCGAAGCTAGTTGAACAATTGGTAGGTCACTGAGCTTGTGGAGCTTATAAATCGTCTCCATGCTTAAGAGGGGGAGGATACGTAGACTCGGGGGAAAATTTATTTATTTATTTTTTTTTTGTAGTTTTAATATATTATGCTAGATGAAATGGTGTTATTTGAAACATATAGTGTCAGAAATTCTTTAAATATCAATTATTTTATTACAACAATATATACATATAATGTTCGTGTTAAATACAAACATGTAAGAAGTGTTTGCTAGAAAGTATCAGACACATATCCAATACCTTTGTCCAAGTGTGTTAGGTGTCTGACATGAGTATTTGATTTATTTTAAAAAGTCCATGTCACATAGCATGGAACATTGTGCTAAATTTATTCTATATGTAAAATAGAATCAACTGTTCAAATCTATATTTTCTATGTATCATTTAAAAAAGGCATAATAAGAATTGCAAGAGAAGCTATACAGAAGAAAATTCTTTGTTCCACAATTTTCATAGAAATTATTTTATAGTTCTCATTCCCTTTATACATTCAATATTCACAGAAGCACCTGGTTGTTAATGTGTGTATATGCCACAAGTGTCTGGCATAGGAGTCTTTTGTTTGATGCCATTGCCAAGATGGCTTTAGTGTTTTTTGATAAGCAATTTTCTTTTTTCTTTTTCTTTTTTTCATAAGAAGCAAATCTTTAGGAGACACTTTTTCCTGCTGTCTTTTGTTTTCAGGCTTGTTTGACGATCCTATCTCATAAGAGTAGAAATTTATTTATAATTTTTTTGATCACCAAAGAAAATCTTTATTGATGAAGAAAACATACATAACCATGCTCGTTTTGCGATTGGGAAAGGATACTTGGTGCGATTTTGGAGTCATCTTTGGTGTGGTGAGGAGAAGCTGGAGGTGGTGTTTCTGTCCCTCATATTGCAATCATTAAAAGATCAAGCAATGGCTGTGGACTATGTGAAATTCGAGTGTCAACAAGTCTTTTAGGACATTTCATCTCGAAGCTAGTTGAACAATTGGTAGGTCACTGAGCTTGTGGAGCTTATAAATCGTCTCCATGCTTAAGAGGGGGAGGATACGTAGACTCGGGGGAAAATTTATTTATTTATTTTTTTTTTGTAGTTTTAATATATTATGCTAGATGAAATGGTGTTATTTGAAACATATAGTGTCAGAAATTCTTTAAATATCAATTATTTTATTACAACAATATATACATATAATGTTCGTGTTAAATACAAACATGTAAGAAGTGTTTGCTAGAAAGTATCAGTCACATATCCCATACCTTTGTCCAAGTGTGTTAGGTGTCTGACATGAGTATTTGATTTATTTTGAAAAGTCCATGTAACATAGCATGGAACATTGTGCTAAATTTATTCTATATGTAAAATAGAATCAACTGTTCAAATCTATATTTTCTATGTATCATTTAAAAAAGGCATAATAAGAATTGCAAGAGAAGCTATACAGAAGAAAATTCTTTGTTCCACAATTTTCATAGAAATTATTTTATAGTTCTCATTCCCTTTATACATTCAATATTCACAGAAGCACCTGGTTGTTAATGTGTGTATATGCCACAAGTGTCTGGCATAGGAGTCTTTTGTTTGATGCCATTGCCAAGATGGCTTTAGTGTTTTTTGATAAGCAATTTTCTTTTTTCTTTTTCTTTTTTTCATAAGAAGCAAATCTTTAGGAGACACTTTTTCCTGCTGTCTTTTGTTTTCAGGCTTGTTTGACGATCCTATCTCATAAGAGTAGAAATTTATTTATAATTTTTTTGATCACCAAAGAAAATCTTTATTGATGAAGAAAACATACATTACATATGAGTTTACATCAATAAGGATGAAAAGTAAAAAAGAAAAAGGGGAACAAAGCATAATGTTGGTGAGAAACCAACACTAGCTTAAGCCAACACTTGATGGCACCCAAAGACTAGTTTTACAAGAGCACTCTAACTTTAAATCCTCCACACTTACCACCCTATAGCCAACATAAGAGTTATACACCATCTTGCTTCCAACTCTTGATGCTTAAAGCGAAACCAATAATCCTATAATCCTACCAATGCCCCACAGACATAACAGCTTCTTGATTCTACCTTTCTTCACAGGCCTACCCCTCGTTGTTGGTTCTCTCTATATCCTTTAGCTCTAGCTCAATAATCTTGTTCAGAACAACATCTTCTTCCCCATTGAAATTGATGCCAAGATATTTCCCCAATTGTAAAGTAGCTTTAGCTTCTTTAAGAAGATAATTGTTCGGACTTGTAGCACCTTCAGATAGATCTGAATGTGCTATAGCAGTTGCTGCTGGTCGGTAGATGACAGACTTGGAGGTGTGCTTACTGATTGTAGTAGCTTTATGCCCATGAAGTTTAGCAAAACTAGTGAATCCCTCTAATTGAACCTTCTTCTTCTTTTTTTTCTTCTCAATCCGTAGGAATCTATGGACAGAAGCAGGTTGCCTAGCTAGGTCTGCATGATTTAGGCTCAAAATGCCCCTCCCATTTAAGTTCTTACTTAGAGCTTGGGCAAAATCCACTTCAAGATTGATGCCATGCCCAAGTCCATCTCTAGATCCACTAAAGCTTCTGATAAATCCAGGAGTAGAGACTTGCACTTGACTGTTTGGGCTATGCACAGACCCTTCCAACATAGTTTCCGCTATCTCCTCTCCCGTGTGACAGTCATTAGGCCCTTCCCTTTTATCTACCTCCTTAGTACATGCTCCATTATCGCTGCTGAATCCTTCATCCCACTTTGTCTCCTCAACAATTGTGGTTACCACCATTCCACTTTTTGGGCTATGTACTTTGTCTTCTGCCACCTCACTGCCACAAATGTTGTTGGAGCTGCTCTCTTCCATGCCATTGTGCTTAATGTTACAAGAGTCTGATATAAGATCTTCGCACACAAGAATGAGATGTATTTTACCCTTGCACTCCAATAAATTAGTTTTGTTTATAAACTCCATACAAGATGTAACCACTCTGATTCTGGTATGGGAGAAGACCTTTGGTTGACGAATATCTCCATCCAAGTTGAGAATTGAACCCCATAAGCTTCCAATGCTGTTAAATGTGCTCCTATTCTAGAGATTTAAGGGTATGCCAAAACACCTCAACCACACACATCTCTCTTGTTCGATATGAAATCCTAGCTTCCATTCCACCACAAACTGAATCCAATTCTTAAACCATTCTTTGATATTGCCGATATTTGATTTCAGCTCCTCTTGAGATTTGAAGGTTAATACTATATCTCGTCCTCCCCCTTTTTTGACCAAAACCTAATCCAACCCTTTCTTCTTTAGTGCATTTTCAATGTAATGAGTGGGGTATTCAGTATTAAGCCTGACTATTGCACTTTCGTAGAGCCAACCATGGCCTTCTTCATTGACTTTTAAGCTCAAATTTGCTTCCCCAGCCACTGTGGGTGTGACCCCTTTTAGTACCTCAGCGAAGGATCTTTGGCCTGCAAAAGAAACTTCAACCCTGTTTCTGCTTGTTTCAAAAGGTTTCCTGATGATCTGAGGCCTACTCCTGCTTTGTTCATCTCTGAAGTTCTTGATATAAGTAGCTTTTTTTACTACCAGCACCATGTCATCCACCAATAAACCATTCCCTTTTTGGATGGCAATGTCTACTGCTACATGACAATCAAATCTCACAAACCCAAATCTTGAGTTTGTCACTATCCTTCTTTTAGCAGGTATGAAGACATCCTTCACTATTCCAAACTTTGTGAAAAGTTCGAACAGTGTTTTAGCATCCATTGCTAAAGGTAAATTGTCCACAAAGACAATAAACAGTCCATGTTTAGCCTCCTTGCCTTGTGCTTCTCCACCTTTCAGCTTCCTCACAACCGGAATCCAACCTCCATTTCCTCCTTGCTCCATTTCATTTTCATTGGGGCATTTTTTCGAACAGGTGGTGGGCAAAACCTTCAACTAAGCTAGTCAGTACCAGCTACCTGCTCTCTGCTACCCCAAATCGGAAACACCCAAATCAAAGACCAAGCCCAAAATCACAAATCCCAGATCACTTACCCTCCCAGATACCACAGCTACCAGGTTATCAATTCTGAATCTTTGCTGAAGCTTCCATGCTTAGATCAACAATCCCGACCTCCAGAGCTACCTCAGATTGCTTACCATCAGCGCCATTACTTAACAGAAAAACGATCGCTTTTTGATAACGGAACTTAGAGTACGAGTGATCACCAGCGAAGAGCAGAGCCGATAACAAGCAGAGCAGAGCAAATCCTAACCTAATATCCCCATGAGCAAACCCTTGTTGACTTGAATCTTGAGTGACGGAATAATGCGGCCAAAAGCATTGTCGAAGCTCAGCTCTTGAACACACTCCACATACAGCTACAGGGCAAACAATTCATTTTGAATAATTTTCTGTGGTTTTTTGTGTAGTCCTTCAGGCTTCAAGCTTTTGTAATTTATTTGTAATTTTGGGAATCAAATATTTAAGAGTATGATATGTTATATATACATATATATATGTATTTGACAAGTAGAGTTTGATATGTCATTCATTGTACAGGTTTCTTTTGGATGGATATGTGGTGAAGATTTAAACTATTTTAAGAGATATTACTTCAATGCTCATGTGCTGTCTTCTGGTCCTATGCAGGTATGCATAAATTCTAGTTGAAAGGCACTCATTTTATAGTTAATTGAACCTTAGAATATTTTTATTTTTTATTTTTTTAGACTTTAGAATCTTTTGAATATTGATTTGAGAATGTCAATGGTCTCAATTTACTTCTTCAGTGAGTTGTTCATCTTTTGTATTCTACTTACATGGATTTCAAAAATGTTGTTGACTTGACTTTGAACTTATGTTTGAGCATTTTAATTTTCTTTTTCGATAATGGTTCCGGAATTTTGAAATATTACTGAAACTTCACACTGGAGCTATCAGTTCACGTCCATTCTATTATCAGATAATCTCAGCCAGGCATCACGACTTGTTGCTCTTCCACCGCCAAATGATATCAGTCTTTTATTTGTACCAAACACCACGGGAGCATCTCCCCTCAAGACTCCGTCATTTTCATTCCCCGCATGACTCCACTTAGTGCGTCCCGTGGGACCCATAACGGCAATCCGAACCATTCTTTTGGTAGGCCTCGAATAGAAGAATGTATATGTAGAAGATTAGTTTGATCGAACATCTTTAGTCACATTAACTAATTGTGTTTTGTTTATGAAATCAATGTTAACTAAAACCATTCATTTTATAAAGCAAAACACAATCGGTTAGTGTGTTTATCAATGTTTGATCAAGCATTCTCTTTGAGAACTACAAGTTGAACAGTTCGGTCACTGTTGTGGACCCCATTGGACCCCCATAAAGTGGAATCTTGAGGGGTATGGAGAGGATGGATTCTCGAGGGGAGTCACTCCCGACACCCACTGCACCAAATGATAGCTCAGTTGAAGCACCATATGCTGTGGATCACACACCATTTAGCTACCCACTTTCTTGCCATCCATTGGCATGTACACCCAAAATGTGTGATACTGGTGTGAGATTTTTTAATTTGACCCTGTACTTATTTGATGGGTGATGTTGATGAATATGCATTTTTTTGGACAGATTTCAATGATTTTGATGAACAACTTATTAAGTTTTTTCTTTGCAGTGATTTATTTATTTATATTTCTTTATAACATTTTGCAGCCTACCTAATTTGAGTGTGTTTTTTGATTTTTTGTCAAATGTTATCTGTGCAGTAGTCTAGGGTATATATGCTTTTGACTTAAGCTCTGTATCAAGAATATAATAACGATGATTTGGTTTCTTTGTTATCTAAATTACCTTAAATTTTTAATTGGTAATTACAAATACATCCTTGAGGTTTGCTTAAAATACGATTGACACCTGTAGTTTTGGAAATTACATCCTGCTCCTTCAAATTTTCTAATTGCATAACAAATAATCCCTTTTATTAATGAATCATTAAGTCAACTAACAGTTTTTAATGATGTCGGAAATATATTTCAATTAACAAATTTGGTAATTTTATTGTTTTACAAGAGGTAGTTAGCATTTTTATTTTTCATGTTAATTCTGTTTAATATTAAATTATAGCAAGGTGTAATTTCTAGAATCACAGGGGCAATCCGTATTTTAAAGAAACCTCAGGGGGGTGTATTTGTAATTTATCCATTTTTCATTGGTTATATTGCAAACCATTTGTTTGCTTTTAATCTTAGATGATCATTTGTTGCAGCATGATACCAGACTTGTTGACATAATACATGGTGGCTTTGAAGGTTTATCTATGCCAAAGGGAACTCGTTTGGATCACCTACTAGTAAGCTTTTCTTTCTCTATGTTGTAATTGTTTGGAAGGATATGTATGACTGAATGAAATTAAAGCAGGCACCCTTAGATGTTTCTAGCTGTTAGCACTAGAAGTGGTGAATGACAGACTGATGGTATAGATGTAGGATTGTTGAAAGAAGAGACAACGTGCCACGCCCCAGTTTCTAATCTCAGTGGATTATCGCTAAGTGTAACACTTAAGGTCACTTAAACCAGTTATTTGAATTGTAATGCATGAACTAAGCACAACAAATCTGAATTAATATAAATATGTCTGGTTTTCTTTATTATTGTAAATTGGCCGTAATTATTGTGGAGTTGTTTCTGATCAACTCTAGAACCTAAGGGACTCCAGGTAAGACTTGGACATTTTGAAAAAAATGTGGTTATTGGGGGGATAAACAATGCTGAAAACGTGTAATAATTGGCAAAAATAAATAATGGGCAGATTTGAATAAAGTTAAGTGTTGTGTTGAGTTGCATATCAATTACTTGGGATAAAATGCTAAAATATCAAGCATAGTTCAAGTCCGGTTACAAAATTACAACTTCCACATGTAGGCTTCAAAAGCTATGAGTAAGCCCACAATTCCCAAAATGTTACATACATGCAATCAACTTAAATATTTGCATACTAACCAACACTACAAGTCCCAAAAGAATAATAGATAGATTACATATCAAGCCCCAAATACATACAAAACCCCAAAACGGCATACATATGAATTGTATAAATCAGTATCAATCCACAGAAAAATATAACTAGGTGGCCAAGAAACACCGACACTTCTAAAAACATTGCGTGTCCGTGTCGAACACTTGGACATCGACACTCCTTGGACACGTATTCAATACTCTTTTTTTCCATGTTCTTAATTGAAAATAAAAAACTTAATTTTGGGCACGTCTTCGACACTCACATGTAGGCTTCAAAAGCTACGAGTAAGCCCACAATTCCCAAATTGTTACATACATGCAATCAACTTAAATATTTGCATACTAACCAACACTACAAGTCCACAAAGAATAATAGACAGATTACATGTCATGCCCCAAATACATACAAAACTCAAAAGTGGCGTACATATGAATTGTATAAATCACAGTCTCAATCCACAGAAAAATATAACTAGGTGGCCAAGAAACACTGAAACTTCTAAAAATGTTACGTGTCCGTGTAGAACACTCGGACAACGACACTCTTTGGACATGTATTCAATACTCTTTTTTTCTATGTTCTTAATTAAAAATAAAAATCTTAATTTTGGGCACGTGTTCGACACTCATTTTGTGACGTGTCCGTCATTTCTTGGTCATGTCTGTCATTTCTTAGTCATGTCTATCATCAAAAAAATAAATGTGAGACCAACACTTCTTCGATATTTGCTAGCATATGATTTTCAAAGGTTGAGAATTTGACATTAGCATCTTATATTCTTAAAAAAAATGTATAATTATTAAGAACTGGACCGCACACGCGATGTGTGCAATTCAAAAAAAATAATATTATAAGAATAATGATAGAAAAATTCACGCATAGTATGTGTTGCTCAAGTGGTAAATGCCTTCTTTATCAAACCCATGATCCCTGTTTCGAGTCCTATCCTCTTATTATAATTTTTACATGAGACACCAACTACAGGGGCATTTTTGGAAAACCAAAAATATGAGACGTCAACACCATCAAAAGCCTTGACATATATAATAGTATAGATATAGATATAGATGATTCTATAGAAGTTTCACAAAAAATTAAATGAATAATGAAAACGATATGTATATTTATTGGTAGATGACTAAGGATGTTAAGCCAAATGTCACAATTACATGTTTGCTATAGTTTAAAAATTCATGTAAATGAATTAGATACATGATTTACTTAGTATAAAGTAATTACTAAATTTGTTTGAGGTTGTTTGGGGTGATCTACTTTAGATCATCTTTTTATCTTATTAGGGTCACATCATCTCTCTACCACATTGCACAACTTTTCGTAAAAAGTCAAAATGTATACTTATTTGGATCATCCCAAACAACCACTATATTTGTTGTGTGTCTGAAACGTAGAGTCCTACTTTTTTGGAATTTTCCGCGTGAGCTGTTCGTGTCGTATCCGTGTCCATGTCTATGCTTTATAGCTAGGTGACAATGCTGCCAAAATCCATGCCAGTGGTGGAGATGTACCTAAAAATGTAGGGAGTAGCAAAGACAACGACTTACTAATAATCATCTATAACTTTTGAAACATGTAAACTACATGCAAGAGTGATTATCTAATTTTTAGTTTTTGTATTAATCATAGCAAGAATGATACCATAATCTATATTTAACTTAAATTACATATGTAAGAATAAATTGTTTAAGTAATCCAAAATTGAAGGACAAAATCAACACTATTTGACAATCAAGGAATACTTATCCTTAACCTGGGTCCTAAGCTTCTAAGCGACCACTCAAGTCCCTAATGTCATATTCATGGTTTTCTAGATCAATGGACTATGAGGAACCAACCTCGTGCGGGGCCCGCAATTCTCACTGATGGAATGACAACTTACCAAACACTACCAAATCTAACTTCTAAATTTCTCAACACTTTTAGAAATCCTTGTTACCCTTTTTGAAACACTGTCCTAAATTGAATTGGTTTGCTTTATTCTCTAGACTTCTTGCCCTTAGTGAAAATAGGACCTTTCTTGAACTTAAAATCTTCTTGAACTTCTTGGCAAAGAGGGCTAGATATTCATCACCTATTTCATCTCATCTTCAGAACCAACACTCTCATCCTTTCTAGCCTTGCAAGCTGTGGCTCTACTTGAGCTACCACTAGCTTTCCTTGGATATATGTTAATTCATAGGTTTGAAGAGATCCTATAAGTTCGTCTATCTTCATGTTGTTAAGATTCTTGCTTTCTTATATGGCGGTGATCTTGGCCCAATAAAAAATCAAGAAAGTTAAAAGATTATAAATCTACTTATAAAAAGAAAATAAAAAGTATTTTTCTAAGAAAAAGCCTTCTTTTAGTCAGAATACACAGATAAACAAGTTACTAATTCTGCAAAAACAACTTTCAGAAAGAAAAATAAATCCTTAGCAAAATGTTGCAAGTGTGGTAAATTCGGCCACTATGCTAATAAATGCAGAACAAAGCAAAAAATTAATGCCGTTAAACTTGATGAAGAATTAAAAGCTCAATTTTATGAGATTTTAATGACTTCTTCTGATTCTGATTCTGATTCTGATTCCGATCAAGATAGTGAGAATCTGGCATAATTATATTCTGACAGTGATACATCTACTTATGAAGAACCAGAGCAGGAAGGTTGTAGCAATGGATGTTGCAATCTTAACACTGAATCTAATAATTGGATAGCTATTGTAGAAGTGAGTGGTCTTTCAACCGACCCCAATATTAATGTTCTCACTGATGAACAAATCTGTTTTAGATCTCATTGATCAAATTAAAGATCCCAATTTAAAGCTAAAAATGCTTGAAGTTTGCTACCAGAAGACACATGAGTAGTCCTTTGAAGACAATATGCAGCCTAGTCATTACAGTTTTAAGGTAGTATTTCACGTCTTGAACATACTACTCCTAAACCTAAAATGCTTGCTAACCTCAACGATATCTGAGAGAAGTTAACCTGCTTAAAATAGAAATCAAAGAGTTAAAATCTCATCAACATCAGCATAATTTGGAATTAATTCAAAGAAAACAACAAATTTCTGCTAGATCTAATCAACAAAAGAATAAGGCAAGAATTGAAGTACATGAAGACTCTACTTCTAAAAATCAGTACCTCAAGTTATTAAACCAAATCGCATATCAAAAATGGTATATCAAAATCACACTTGTTATTGATAATAGATTTGTCATGAAAGATGCAATAGCTTTAGTTGATAGCGGAGCTGATATGAATTGCATTCAAGACGGACTTATACCTTCTGGATATTTTGAAAAAACCACTCAGTCCCTAACCAGTGCAAGTGGAACTAGAATGATAATTAAGTATAAATTATCCGAAGTTCTCATATGTAATCAAGGTATTTGTATTTCCACTTCATTTGTTCTTATTCGTAATATGTCTCAAACCTTGATTTTAGGAACAACATTTTTATGTCTTCTTACGCCTATTGAAAAAATTGGCTTCGAAGGCATCCATACGACTATTAGTAATCAACTAATTGTTTTTGAATTTATTATTGAACCATATACCAAGGAAATTAATTCTTCTTTTGAAGTATTCGGATTATATTGTTTAAGTATTCCTCCATAACCTTTATCAGAAGCATCTGTTTCAACAATTTTCTTCCAATTAGGGTTAGGAATAGCTAAAAAAGGTAATTGTTTAACTCTAAGCTTAATTTTCTGTATAGCTTTGGTATGTTCAGATGACCTAGGTTCGAGATTCTTTTTTAATCTTGCGTAAAGGATAGCAGCATCTGTGGCTAAATGCTGATAGTAATCTGCAATATAATTTAAACAACCAAGAAAGCGTGTAATTGAGTTTTATCCTTAATTTCATCCGGAAATTTAGATGCAAACTCGATACTATGGTTAATAGGAATGATTGTGCCATTATGAATGTTATGGCCAAGAAATCTTACTTTTGTTTGAAAAATTTTCATCTTTGGAGCTGAGATTACAAGTCCATTTTTAATAATAACATTCTTAAAAATATTAAGATGTTTAATGTGTTGTTCAATAGATGAAGAATAAACAAGAACATCATCTATATAACATATAGAAAATTTAGAATAAGGGATAAAAATATCATTCATAATATTATGAAATTCGGATGGAGCATTCTTCAAACCGAATGGCATAACATTCTATTCATAATGTCCAAAAGGCACATGTGAAAGCAGTTTTATACCTATCTTGCTTAGCAATTTGTATTTGCCTATATCCTGATTTAAGATCAAATTTGGAAAAAATAACAGCATCCTGAAGACTGTCTAAAAGATCTTTTTTATTTGGAATAGGATATCTAATCCATTGAGAGCATCATTAAGAGGTTTATAATTTATAACAAGTCTAGGAGTTCCACATTCTTTTTCAGCATTTTTGTTAACATAAAAAGCGGTGCAACTCCATGGAGAATAACTTTTTCGGATCAATTTTTTCTAGAGAAGATTAGAAATTTCAGTCTTACGTAATTCCATATATTCCTTTTTCATTTGAGTTGGTCTAGCTTTAGTTGGAATATATTTTTCATTAAAATCAGATTTATAGGGAAGAGTAACATTATGTTTCTTCTTATCCCAAAAAGATTAGGAATATCACTACAAATTTTAGATTGAAATTCAGATGCAATTATTTTGATTTTATTCTGTAAAGAAGTTTCCTAAAGTTTTTGTTCAATACTAAGAATAGGAATTTCTTTTTGTAAGAAATCTAATTGTTTTTCTTTAAAAACTATTGTGTCTTTTATTTGATCCAATTCTTTGGTATATGGTTCAGTAATAAATTCAAAAACAATTGGTTGATTACTAATGGTAGTATGGATGCCTTCAGAGTCAATTTTTTCAATAGGTATAGGAAGATATAAAAATGGTGTTCCTAAAATCAAGGTTTGAGACATATTATGAATAAGAACAAACGAAGTGGAAAGACAAATGCCTTGATTATAGATAAGAATTTCGGATAATTTATACTTAATTATCATTCTAGTTCCACTTGCACTGGTTAGCAACTGAGTGGTTTTTTCAAAATATTTAGAAGGTATATGACCTTCTTGAATGCAATTCTTATCAGCTTCACTATCAACGAGAGCTATTGCATCTTTCATGACAAATCTATTATCGATAACAAGTGTGATTTTGGTATACCATTTTTGGTATGTGATTTGGTTTAATAACATGAGGTACCGATTTTTAGAAGTAGAGTCTTCATGTACTTCTTCAATTCTTGCTTTGTTCTTTTGTTGATTAGATATAGCAGAAATTTGTTGTTTTATTTGAATTAATTCCAAATGATGATGATGTTGATGAGTTTTTAACTCTTTGATTTCTGTTTAAGCAGATTGACTTCTCTACGGATATCTTTAAAGTTGGCAGACATTTCAGGTTTAGGAGTAGTATGCTCAAAACGTTGAACTACTTCCTTAAAACTGTAATGACTGGGTTGCATATTGTCTTCAGAGGACGGCTTCTTTGTCTTCTGGTAGTAAACTTCGAGAATTTCTAGCTTTAATTCAGGATCTTTAATTTGATCAATAAGATCTAAAACAGATTTTTGTTCATCAATGAGAACATTAATACTGGGGCCGGTTGAGAGACCACTCATTTCTACAATAGCCTTCTAATAATTAGATTCAGTGTTAAGATTGCAACATCCATTGCTACAACCTTCCTGCTCTGGTTCTTCATAAGAAGATGTATCACTGTCATAATATAATTATGCCAGATTCTCACTATCTTGATCGGAATCAGAATCAAAAGAAGTAATTAAAATCGCATAAAGTTGAGCTTTTAATTCTTCATCAAGTTTAACGGCACTAATTTTTTGCTTTGTTTTGCATTTATTAGCATAGTGGCCAATTTTACCACACTTATAATATTTTGCTGATGATTTATTTTTCTTTCTGAAAGTTGTTTTTGCAGAATTAGTGACTTGTTTATCTGTGGTATTCTGACTAAAAGAAGGCTTTTTCTTAGAAAAATACTTCTTTTTTCTATTTATAAGTAGATTTATAATCTTTTAATTTTCTTGATTTTTGTTTTTTGTTTGGATAAGGAATTTTTACATCGTAGGCAAATTAATCACAAAATTCACCTAATTCCTTTCTCCTGTTAAGTTTTCTCTTTTCATTTGATATTGTAACTTTAGATCATTACAAAAAGACAAACCTTCTTCAATAATTATAGCAATTAATTAACCATAAGTGTAATTATTATAAAGGATATTCATACCATGATTTTGATCTCTTAATTTCTTACGGATTTTTTCGGCAAATAAAGCTAGCAATTCATCAATAAATTTAGCTTTCCAGTGTTCACTATTAGCATCAATTCGTTGCATGACTTTAATTAGAAAGACATCTTTATACCAACGAAAATGTGTGAGAGAAGGACAACGGAGATTATGGAGAAGTGAAGTAACACCTGGGCCTATAAAATGCATTAATATGGTTTGGGAAAGGGTATAGACCGCATCCTCAACTTGTTGAGGGTTATTAGTCAAAGGATTGGTTTCTTGCTTAACAGATTGTAATATTTCCATTTGTTGAGTAGGTGTAAGGACATTATCCCACCATCCTTTGAGAATATCGATAAATCCAGTGGTAATAAAGCGAGCAATTTGGCTATCTGTATTACCATTTTGGCAGCAAACAGAACTGTACATGAGCATTTCATGGACAGTTTCAAATATTTGATATTTGGATTTGCCATTAATATTCCAAGAGTAAATGCTTTTTCCATGATAAGATTTTTGATCATGAAGAAAGTCTTCTTCATATAAGATATCTTGTGGAGTAGGACTAGGATAATAATAACGATCTGGTCCTAATTTAGAATAATCTTGTTTATCACGGGTAAAATATGTTTTATGTATGGAATCCGGATGATCCTGAAATTTTTTTTGGATTTGAAAAACATGATCGATACCTGCTTTAGTATAGGGAAGTTTGGCAAAGTCTAAGACATTTAGAGAGGAAGATCCTCCAATATGCAAATTTTTCATTTTGCCAAGTAGAGAATTAGCAAATTCTTCATTTTTAGCAGAGGATGATAGTTTAAAATTAGAATTGGCTACTGGAGGTTTGAGATTTACATGTTGAATAGGGGAAGAATGCACAATATTTTTTTTACTAATAATACTTTTCATAGATTCTTCAATACGGGTTAATTGAGAGCCAATCGTCTGAAAATGGAGATTGAAATAATTATTCTGTTTAATTACTGAATTAAGGTCTTTAACCTTGCAATATTGACCCAACCTTTCTTCATTTGTAGTAGGTCGAACATAAGCTGAAGTAGAAAGGGGTTCTAAGTTGGTAGTATTACTGGAGACTAATTCTACAAATTCAGTAGGAGGATGAAGGGAGGTAAAAGTTTTTCCTTCAATAGTGGTCCAGGTTTTATAGAAATTATCTGAAGTATCGATTTTAAATTTTGGAAGGATTTCCATGACAGTGACAAATTCATAAAACCATTCAGTAAAAGAAATGATCTTTTGATGAACTTGAAGATGAAAGTAATACTGATTTTTATAAAATTGTTGCTGATTTTTTGTATTTCTTTTAAAATACCAATCCCTAAACTGCTGGTATTTGGGATGCTGAAATTTCTGGTTAATTTGTTTGCGAATTTCACTTCTTGTTGTAAAATCCATATAAACTATATTTGAAAGTTCATTTCACTGGCGGTAGGGCTTTCCCTATGCTCCGGTTTGGGAGCTGGCCTTTTGGTAGTGTAAATCCCTTGTGGGATACGATTTTCGGATATACGGAGAACGCGAACAAAAGATTCATTCGGGATATGAGAGGATACAAAATTCCTAGAAGTTTGAGGTATGTCAACTTCATAAGGTAAACTCCTAGGTATACAAGTACTAGATGTACTTCTTCCTAGTATTTTGGGGTATAGGTTTTCGGAATATTAAATATATATATCACCATCTTTATTTTGAACAACATCTTCAAAAGCCCACTTTTATAGGGGAATAACTGTGGATGGTCTTTTTTGTGTAACTTCTTGCAAACTAAAGGCTAATAATCATAAAGTAGAAGCCAAAATCACTGCTTCCCTTGTTTGCCAATAGTTAGCTCTTTTTAGCTTATTTAAAAGAAAATTGCTCTGCTACTTCAAATTCTAAAAGTATAATCTATTGAAGTCTACCTCTATCATTCAACATTTTAAAACGTATGACGTACTACATTCCGGTTCCCGTTCCCGTTCCCTTTCCATGAGCCAAAACAATCCATGTTTTAGGTAAGATAGGTTAAAAATACAAGAAAACCAAAATGGAGCTTTTATTCTGTCTATTCAAAAGGATCCTAGATCCCTTGAAATTATTATTTCTTTTGCCTGAAATGATTGACAACAAATGTAATGGAGCCAAAAGGCACGCTTTTCGTGTATGCTTGCCTTCCCTATCTACACACATTTCTCGCAAAAGTCCTAGAACATCTCTTTGGAACACACGCAATTGATCGCAAGCTATGAAGCACATACACATCTCTTTTTAGCTTGTTGTCTAGTGGGTTGTAGTTGCACTTGGCTTGTATGTATAACTATTGAAGTCAACACAAAAAAAAATGTTTACAAAACTTAGAATTGTCAACTTAATTTTAAAGTGTGAAACATAATAATAGTTAAAAGAAACTCAACAACATTTTCTGAATTAATGAACATAATGTAGGACTCAAGTGGAATCCGTATCAAGAGTATGTGTGGTCCCACGTGTTCAATGTTTCTAAACAAAACTAAGCTTTATGATTTTCCTCGAGTTTCTTAATAACTTCATCGCAAGATGTTTTAACTAGATAGGATGTGTCCATGCATGTGTGTAAGTCAAAATGGACATTCGAGAAATTAAAACTCTCTCTCTCACAATATAAGTGTCAAAAAGTAAGACTGTTGCAGGAATTATAATTTGTTACCATCACATGGTAATTTGGTTTGACAAGCACATGGTGTATGTGAGTTTTTTTTTTTTTTTTTTTCTAATAATATGTATGGATAATAAAGTTGGACTCAGATGGAGTCCAAATCGAGATTATGTGTGGTCTGACGTGGTCAATGTTTATAAATCAAACCAATCTTTAAGATTTTCCTTGAACTTTTTTAATAACTCCATCACCTGAACTTTTAATTAGTTAGGATGTGTCCATGTGTGCTAATTTGGTTTAATAATATATATGTGGTTTTGCAGCGTTATACCTCATACTTAAGGGAATTGCATTATATTCACAAAAATTATGCATGCAGAAAAATCCTTGCCAAATGTGATTTTATAAAGGTGTGGTCAATCTTTTGGCATTATGTTCTTAAACAACTCTCTTTGATTTAAGCTTTATGTTGTATGCATGTTGGTTTGTAATTATTCTTTAATGTTTTAGTGGGACAGTGATTTTGATGACATATTTCAAAGACTCAAGTCACAGAAAAAATGGTCTGAATTCTCCGATAGCAGTCTTAAGACTGCTTTGATTGTAAGTCTACTCTCATTTTATTTACTTATTTTTCTGTTTTACTCCATTGTCATGGATTTCTATTTTTGATTTAAGCTTTATGTTGTGTGCATGTTGGTTTGTAATTATTCTTTAATGTTTCAGTGGGACAGTGATTTTGATGACATATTTCAAAGACTCAAGTCAGAGAAAAAATGGTCTGAATTCTCCGATAGCAGTCTTAAGACTGCTTTGATTGTAAGTCTACTCTCATTTTATTTACTTATTTTTCTGTTTAACTCCATTGTTATGGATTTCTATTACTATTCATTTCCAATTTAACTCATGGACTGTCCCATGTTTGGTTTAAATTTGGAATGAATGGAAAAGAAGGAATTTGCCGTTCCTTACAAGGTGTCCATTACAAGTAACAATATTCTTATGTTAATAGCGTTCAAGCATTGGGAATAGTCATTAGTCCTATTTGGAGAAGTGACAGATTTTATTAATTGTGGGATTGCTTTTCATTTTCTGTTGTTGAATGGTTTCCAAACTGTGATCCCATGGATAGTGTCAGAATGAGGTTTCTATTTAGCTACCTCATTTGGTGTTGAATGGGTAAGCAGAAGCCTGAAATAACTTTTCTTGTCTGTACAATGCAGACATTTTTGGTAGAAAGAGATCTTGATCAAATTTCAATTATGGCAGTCCATTTTAGCCTTTCAGGCATATTTATTGTGGGTTTGCTTTTCATTATCATTCATTGGTATGCAATATGAATTTTATTATCAGTATTACTATTATTATTTTTGCAGGAACATTTCTCCCACCTTCATAAGTTGAATGATAATTTGGATATTAGTGTTGGCAACATGTCTGAGGTAAGACATAAAGATTTGATCTTATTTTTAAAGTTAAGATAAGTTGTTATTATATATGGGTTCATTTAGTATCTTAATTTCTTTACTAATGGTTATAGAGCCTTTTTTTTTAATTGATACAAGTCCGGCAATTGATTTTTTACCTTAATTTTTTAGAAGTTGCATGGTGGAATAAAAGTTTACACAATACCATGTGGGAGCAAAACAGAAACCTGTTTTGGATGTGTAGTCTACTACCTTTTACTTACTAGTTTTGATTTCGAGCTAGAGCAATACGATACTACTAATACTACTACAATTTTTTACGAATAATTTTGATGTCGAGCCAGGGTGATAGCATATTGGAGGCAATCACCAAGGATTATTCTGAAGAACTTTCTCGTTTAACCAAGGGAATCGCGGAGGTAATTCTCTTAACAGAATTTCCGCACAATTTGTTAAAGGGTTTTGATGCATTAAATCCGCTCAACAACCTCCACTACCATAGAAAATGTAAAACACTATAAATACATTTTGCTTTTAGACTAAACTACCATTTTTTCCAATTTCATATATTTTAACATTCTATACTTCTCCAAAAAAATATTTTTTTTAAAACATTTTCTTTAATCATAAAAGTAAATTATATGGTTAAAAACTTATTAGAGTTTTTTTTTATAAAATTTTTAAATAATATTTATTTTCAATCATAATTAAATTATAGGGTTAAAAAATGAATTTAAAAATTATAACAAATATAAGAAGAAATTTATAAGATCAATCAACAAAGGAATATGAAGTTATTTAAAAATAAATGCTGCAGCTTTGTCATTCAATATCACCATTGCATATTATGGTTCCAAGGATTAAATAAAAAAAATAAAAAAAACTACGAAATGTGATTTCAAAATAAAGGACGTTTACATTTATGATAAAAAAATATTAAAAAAAAAAAAACTCTATTTTGAAAAGTATATAATGTTAAAATATATGAAATTGGAAAAAGGGGTAGTTTAGTCTATAAGTAAGATGTATTTATAGTGTTTTATATTTTCTATGATAGTGGTGGTTGTTGATTGGATTTAATGCTAAGGGCACTTGTTAACAAAACCCTTTGTTAAATATGTCCATCTATACGTTTGTATAATATTTTTTTTTGGTGATGCCTTGGCAGACGAGGATGAAAAATTATGTTGACCACTTGGAATTCAAGCGTCTCGTGAATAAATGTGCTGCTCAGGCTAAAGCTTTAAGTACTGAATTCATTGCAAAGGTTATTGTGCTGTCCCTTGTTTAAATATGCATAGTAGACCTCTACCATCTACCATAGCTTCTAATCCAAAAATTGTTATTAAAAAAAAAAAAAAAAGGAAAATTACAAAAAAAAAAAAGAAGAAGAAGAAGAAAAATCCAGGGTTTGATCCTTGTAACAAAATAAACCTTGAATTTTTAATTTTGTCAATTTAAACCCTAAACTTTTGATTTGTTTTCAATTTAACTAGAAGCCTATTTCCGTTAAGTAAAAGCAATGGAAAGAAAAAAGTATTTTAATTATTAAACTCAATGAAAAATGGTATTTTAGACATTTTATGTACGCCTACATTGAATTTAATGACTAAGATATTCTTTTTTAGTCGGTTTTACTTAACGAAAATACACTTAAAGGTAGTAAGTTAAATATTTCGGGTTTAAATAGTTTTTAAATGAACTTGAAATGTTGAATTGAATGATTTTACATTTCAAAGAAGAAAACATGTAAAGGTAGTAAGTATAAGTTTTGTTTGGTCTTTTTATCGAAGTTTGGTGGGGGAGGTGGTTTGTGCGTTCCCTTGGAGGAGTATTTGGGTGCCTTGAGTTCCTTCTAAGGTGGTTTTCTTCCTATGGATGGCTGCTTTAGGTCGGAATCTTACTATTGATAATCTGTTGTTGAGGGCATGTGATAGTGAATCGGTGTTGTATGTGTTGTGTTGATGTGGAGTCGGTTGATCATTTATTTCTTTATTGTTCTGTTGCTTTGTGTCTTTGGGGGCTTATTTGTTCTCTTTTCGGGATTGTTCGGGGGCAGCCGAGAGGGGTTTTGGATATGCTGTGGAGGTTGAGGGGGCTCGGGTTGTGGCGGCGGTGACGGGTGTGATCATTGATGCCGTTTTGTTTGATGTGGTTGGTTTGGTTAGAGTGAAATAGGCGAAATTTTCAAGAGATTTATCATTCTGTGTTGTGGCTTGTGAATCGGCTTTTAGTTACTATATATAGTTGGTTGGAGAGTAGAGTTGATAAATCTTCATTTATAAATAGGGGGTGATATTCTATCATTCCCCAAGCTGGTTACCCAAGCTTCAAGTTGATCCGGATTTGTTTGATTTCTTTAGATTTTTTGAATGATGTAATTGGTTAGGCGTGTTTAGTTTTCTTTTTTTCTGGTTTCCTTGTATTCTTTGCATCATTGTGATACTTTTTCAATAAAGTTTTATTATTTATCAAATATATATATATATAAATATTGTCAATTATATTAACTCAGATGACCATTACAATGTCAAAGCCTAATATAGATAGGCCAAAATCCTAATTTAATTAGGAAACTAGCATAATTTTGTTATAAAATAGTATTAACATCTCATACTAATATTATGTAATTAAATCTAACTAGAAACTAATAATTATATTCTACCAATTACATTTATGACACAAAACGCCTTTTTCACAGGGGCTTCACTTTAGGCTTCCAAATCCATTGACAGGCTGCCAAATAGTCAAAGGTTGTGCCATCAATTATCCTCTGCTGAAAAGAAGTCGACTCTAGCTTCTCAAGAGCACGTTCAAGCATTCCATCGGAGGGAGGAACTCTTGTAAGCAACAAAGAGTTCTTGCTCAATTTAACGACTTTGGAGTCGCTAGCACTAGCAATGGTATATCTTATAAAGCTATCATTGAAAGAGTAGGTGTTGGCATGTCCAGCATGTGAAACATTGCAATTCCAAAGGCATGTACGTCCCAAAAAAATGTGATGGTGATTAAGAGGCATAACATGGCACATTCCATCTCTTTTAGTTTGCCGGTGTTGAACGTCAAGAGGCACTGTTTGTTGACCTTAAGTTTGGTATTGGTGATCCATACCACATATGGCTTGGGATGTATCTCAACTGTCAAACCAATTTCTTCACAGTATCTTCGACCACAATATTTGTGCAACTTCCTGGATCAATCACCAGAAGTTTGAAAATTTTGTCAATGTTGCCACTTTTTGGGCTTCTTGTCTTCCTTACTAGTAGAGCAAGTAATGGCCAAATATTCGAATCACCACATGTTGGAGATCCTCATCGTATTCGGGATGAAGGAGTTCAACAGGTTGTTCATCAAGCTTTGTTTTCTATAATTCTTGTACCCCCATGTTGTCTTCACTTTCAAACATAGCAACTCAATTAGTCTTGACATAAAGGAAATCTCTATCTTTACGTCCAAAATCTTGACAATTAAAACACTTGAACTTAATGTTACATCTGTATGAAGATTGAAAAGGACCAAGAGTGGAACGGGAAGGTTGACACGAAGTTTGCTCCAAATGGGTTCTAAAAAAATCCTCTCATTGTGAGGGTGTTCACTTGGGGGCTGCATAGTTGCCCTCTTTTGTCCTGTTTTCCATTCAAAGTATTACTTGGATAGTGTCTCGCAGATGATAAAGCCTGCTAGCAGCCAATTCACAAGAGATTTGCAGATTTGGTCATTGACTATACATGGAAATCATGACATTTTGATTTCATTTAAATTCAAACATGGTAGTCAAACTGTAAAACAACCCTGTGTATTCACTCACGGACTTGTTTCCTTGTGTTGGTTTAGTAAACTGCACGCGAGCTCCTTGCTTGCAACTTGGTGGAACAAAATATTGATTCATTGCAATTTTTGTCTCTCAATTACGTCTAGTTGCATAATGATGTCATTGATATTTACCCCACCAAATTCTAGATGTTACCTTAATTTTGCATTGGCAAAAAGTAGTTTTTTTTTCCTCTTGTCATGTGGTACCAGCGGAAAAAACTCTAAACTATGTTACGATTTAAAAAATACCTCCAGATTGTGGACCACACTAAAATCTGGGAGTTCTGGTTTGGCTTCTCTATCCACCTCAATTAGGCGATGATCAGCTGGCATTTGTTTGTATGCATACCCAAAAGGGGGTAGCATTGGAGTTGCCATAGGTCCACTAATTGTAGATTAGTCCCTTCCCTGAAGAGTTATTTTTTTGAGGTATGTTGCATCTGACTTAATATTCTTTCTCTTCATCTATTGCACATCTTGGTCTAAGGTCCTATATTTGGAATTTTACTTTGCATTGGGAACTGGGGTTGATGGTAGGAGAATCTTTTGTTTTGTTTTGTTTTGTTTTTTTTTTTCTTTCTTTTGGCTGAGTTGGATTTGGGTAAAATGGGCTTGACTTGGTCGGTCTTGAGGGCACTGTGGCTTGGTTTGGATGCGAAAGGTTTGGCTTGGGGTTGACTTAATGTGAGCGTAGGTTGCCCTGATTTGGGTAATGGTTGGACTATGGATGTTGTTTGGGTTTGGTTAAAGGTCTGGTTGGGTTCTCAAGATGTTGATGTTGGCTCCTGGTGGTGTTCCTTGCTGGTGGCGATGATGCTTGATGATGTTGGTGGGTGATGATGACCACAAGTAGATGTTCTGTTCGATGATGAGATGTAGAGTGAGCACCAATGGTTGAACATCATTGATCGAGGTAGCAAGTGTGAGAGACCAACGACGAAGGACAGTCATCCGTGAAGCTCTTGTGTGGCTAGGGTTATGATGACACAAGGTATGGTTTTGGTCACCGATATAGGTGTTAGGCAAGAGAGGGAGGAAGAGAGAAAGCAGGGATCAATGCTTTTGCTCTGCTACCAAATGAAGCAAAATATAATACAGAGAAGAGGGAGAAAACTTACAGAAAGCCACAACCTAATACTCACAGGAATAAACTCAAATACGGCCATTACAATGCTAAAAGCCTAATATTACTTGGGAAACAAAATTAACATCTCATAATAATATCATGTAATTAAATCTAATTAATTATTGAATACTAATAATTATGTTCTAGCAATTACATTTATGAGCCAAAATGCCTCCGGACCCATGGGCTTCGCCTTCGGATTCCAAATATGACATTGGGCTTCCAAATAGTCAAGGTTGCGCCATCAGGCGGTGGCATATTAAGAAAATCTCTTTCGAACTACTACCCAACTTAAAAGTCATTTTACCATAATGCTATGTTTTGGCCTTTGATATGTGAACAGAAAAGAAAGAGGACGAGATTTGTTAAAAAAAAAAAATAGCTTTTATATTTCTATCACCTTTTCCCTATACTTCTTATCCCTCCTAAATCCTAGATTCAAACACAACATAGAGGCTTTTTTGGTGCCTCACTTGGGTGGACTGGTCTAATTAGGGATTTTGAGGAAATGGGTTATGTCTAGATCAAGAAGCACAAACATTTTCGGACTTTAATACTGATCAGACAATTTGCGACATGTGCCGAACACCTCTCCAAACTTGCCTATTATTCCTTTTAAATTTTGTCGAGCTTGACATGTTTCCGACACTCAACGGAAACACATGCGCAGAGCTTAGACAAACATGGAACACTTTACACATCACAATGATAAAAAAAACTAATGTAAACTTATTTATATTAATCTATACTACTTCAGATTTTAGGCAGTAGTGTTTATGTTACATTTTTTTTTATTTATTGTTTTTGAAATGAAATATATATATATATATATATATGTGACATAGGTTGGTGGGAGGATTAGTCTATTTTTTTTTTGATGGTGGGGTGTCTAGTCTAGCTTACGTGCACAGTCTATTTTTGTTTTGATGATGGGGTGTCCAGTCTAGCTTACGTGCACCTCTACCAATCTCAGGACCCACGCAAAACATCTCTTCCACGTGCATCGGGCAAATCTTGGACAGAGCCCATGAGCATGGCCCTAAGGAGTTGATAGCACCAAGTGGGAGTTGAACCCGAGACCTAGAGGGAGCACACCCCTAACCCCCAAGTAGCACCCACTAGGTCAATCCCTTGGGGATGAGTCTAGTTCAAGCAATGATCATGGAAGACACCATGATGTTCTTGATGCCTATTTAGGTGGAGACTAGCCCAACTATTCTATTTCAAGAGCAACAGGGAGGGGGGTGGAGCATGTTAACCGCGACAAGCTTGTGAGGGGGAGAAAGAGGTGAGTCATTGATAGCAATCACTTGGTGGAAGGAGAAGCA